TGCAGAAAATACCCACAGGTTATTATTGTTCAGTCCATAAGCACGGTCAGCCAAAAACTTACAGTTTTTCCAAATGTAATATGTGTACATGTGCTTCAGTACTTTTAAAAGCACTAGGGGATCCTAGATCTTCAATAGACCGTTCACTGAAGTCAAATATTGGCAAACAACCCTCTGGGCTTGTGAGCTTTTACTAACAGACTTTTGTTCACACCTGCTAAGCCATTTAAATTTCATATGAAGAGCACGTCTAAGATCTCTCTGCCAAGCTGCAAAGAAAAGTCAAAGAACCCAAAATGTAGTCCTTGAAAACATAAAGGAAAGTTCACAATGCAATCACAGGACATTAAAATGTCCCAGGATTTTAAAGGCAGGAGCTGTCATAATCCACTGGGGTGACTGCCTGCTTTGTGAAGGCTTTAGGATTTTTCACTCAATCATTTTGTACCAAATCCAACAACTTGGAGTGGAGCAAGATAATGTCTTTAGAAGGGTAGATTTTATTTTTGTCTGTGGGTTTCAGTTGATAGTGAAATACTATACATTTCTGGGCTTAATCATCTTTGATTTTTAACACAGAACCTTATTTCAGTTTTCAGCAGGATCTTGCTATGACTTTGTCTGGAGAATTAAAAAGTCCTCTACCCAAACTGACTCATCGCAAGGGGAGTATGAACAGAGACTGCATGTGGAAGTAGGAATGTTGAAGTATATATGTATGTGTATTTTTTATCATTGAAATACACTGTGCAATAAATGCTTTAAATTTTAAAGTGAATTTAGAAGTGATTGTTACAGGTGTGGGAGGATTTTACATAAATGTGAGGCTAAGAGAACTGGAAGGAAGATTTCAGTGTTCCAGGGACAATAATTTTGGCTTTACTGGGCAACGTATGCATACAGAAGCAGTAGAATAACTTTTACACAGAGGTGCATCTATCATGTTGTAATGCACTGTTGGCAATTAGATCTTCAGTCTGTTCGATCCCTGTCTCTCCAGGATATCCCAGGGTATCACTGTAGGGGATGGATTTTTTTTGCGCGTATAATGACAGAGGTAATGAAGAAGCTGCTGAGAACACCAGTTTATGTCACAAGGGCCATTGAAAGGACCTGGCTGTCAGCTGTGCGTCAGGTGCAGCTCAGATGGGCTCTATAAAATCTTAATGGTCCTATAAAACTGCTGACTGGGAGAGAAAGATCCCAGCTCCTGAAATCTCTGTGGCTTCTTCTCATGCTGGATTCAGGCCTGTGGATGAGTTTCAGTGTAATGCTGTTCTGTCCACTTAGCTGCAGAGCCAGTAGACCCTTATAAGCACAGCACGATTCTGCAGCTGCTATGTTACCTATAGTAACAGATGACTTATTTCCCTTCATTTATCAGAACTATTCTTAACCTTCTTGTAGTCTTGTATTTAGTTGAGGCCTAGACATCCAAGTGTCCATTTGTTCCCTTGGGAGATTATTTCACAGCTCAGTGCACTTGTGTCAGGGAAAATTCCCTAAAGTTTAGTCTGACTTTATTTTTAATGACAGGTAGAATTTCTACCTTGCACTGGAGTAAACACATAAACATACCAAACTGCTGCCATACCTAGAGTTTGATTCAAAAAGCAGCAAAACCATTCAATACAAACCTTACTCACAGCTGCCTTCCAGGTCTTGGCTGTTCCCAGTTTCCCTAGAGCATCCTCCTCTTTGGAATTACAGTTCTGCCAGCTCAAATATCAAATACATTTCCCATGTGTTTATAAACTCTGTAAGTGGGGCATATCTTCCTGCAGATATAATGCCTGGTTTCATATTTACTGAACCATTTCAAAATTTCTCTTCAAGCAGCTCGACTAATGGCTACATTTATCAGGAGATAGGTCTGAGCTTAGAAAACAAAAACAGCCACAAACTTTTACAGATTTGGAACTGATTTTATTTGCAAACCTCAAACATTGCATTGGCTTCCTGGAAATCAGGAAGTAAAACAGATATATATTCACCAGTAAAAATATCCCACTGGGGAACTGTGGGGATGGAATGGCCAAACGAAATGCTGCCTACAGACTGCTGGAGTACATAGGGAACACAGAGGTCTTAATGCAGATAGCTCAGAGAAATAGTTGTGGTAAGAATAGGTTAGAGACCTATTGGTTCTTTTGGCGTGAGAAGAATGGTCTCATATTTTGGCTCTTCTCAGTACAGTCTATATGTATTTTTATCCAGCTTGTCTTTATTTTCAGTATTGAAGCAGAATAAAATCCTCCAATTCCAGATCCTCCTGAGGATTTAATCTTCAATAGCTCACCTCCATTTTTACCAGCAGTCCATGATGATGATGTGGCAATCTTTCTTTCTGGGATGAAGAATATATTGGAGGTGGTGAATGACTTTTTTTCAGCGCTTTTCATCACCTATCAATCTGGAAAAAGCTCCTGCAAAGTATTTGGGCAAACTGCTCTTGGTGCTAACGTTAAGATTCCTCAGGTAACACCTGAGCTGGGCATTCCCAGGTGTGCTACAGCAGGGCCATCAGTCCATTGAGGGCTCATCTGCCCACAGGAGGATGCAGAGAGGCACAAAAGCAGCTAAGAAGTGAAATGACATCTTAGAGAAAAGAGATCCTGCTCAAAGCACACTAGAGCATCATAGGGAGCGTTGGGGTGATCCCACTATAGGAGATAAGAGTGAGGCAGTTGGTGCTTGTGTTTCTGAGTTGAGCTCTGTGGCCAACATTGTATTTGTGTTTAGGTCTATGTGCCTGCTGGGAACACAGGCAGCTGTACTGGGGACATGGAGCTGTGGCAGCCTCACAGTTGTGCTGCTGGATTCATCGACCTACAGCAGATTTTGTCTTACACAAAACCTTTACATGTTAGTATTATTGCTTTGTTGGTTTTGAATGATTTCAATAACAGTTATTAATTTGTATGTGCCTTTGCAGCCCATGTTTCTGGCAGTCTTAACAAACTGAAAAGCCAAATCCAAGTGAATTCAGGAACAGTAAAAATGGCTCCAAGGGCTCTTTATCCATAGACCAAAACAATGTGAAGAGGTAAAGCCAAGTTCCTGGCACTGACACACTCCCTAACAACCTCAGGTGCATATATATGCAGAAAATTGGTTTTGATTCACTAGAGTTATGCACATAATTTTTCAACATATGAAAATGTTACATTGAAATTGTGCAGTTTCAGCTATTTCAGTAGGACATCTTTATGTACCTAAAAATTATGCATGCAATCCTAGTTGGACCTTGGAACTGTCAGCTTTTTACAGTTGATCTTTTGATTACCACTGAACCTGTATGATTTCCCCAACTCTCTCCCAGATCAGAGCTATTTGCTTAATTTCACATGTGCTGTTGGAAGCAAAGAGGGGAGGAGTTCTGGGTATTACAATAGTGCATGAGTCATTTGATCTGCATATTCTTTACCTTGCCTCTTACTAATAAACCTAAAGTCCTGTTATTTGTTTTGCCTGCAGCACCTGCAGCATTAACTGACGATAGCAAGCTCTGCACCTGCAGTCTCTCTGTTTATAAACCTTCTTTCACATGCTCTGAAGCAACATTTGTTAAGACTAAGTGAATTCTCCAAGTAGCACAGTTAAAATGGCACCTCAAAAGCATTCTCTTTTAGCATTTGGGTTTTAAACATATTCAGAAGCTGCTCTGGTTTCAGCTAGGGCAGAGTCGATTTTCTTCATAGTGTCTGGTATGTGTTTTGGCTTTTGGTGAAAAACAATACTGATAACACATGGATGTTTCAGTTGTTGCTGAGCAGTGCTGTACAAAGCCAAAGATGCTCCAGTTTTTCAGCTTCTTGTGCTTCCCTGCCAGCTAAGGGGTGGTGGGCAGAAGGAGATGAGTGGGGACAGAACTAGGACAGCTGACCCAGACTGGCCAAAGGGTCATTCCATACTGTATGACATCATGTGAAAAAACTGTAAACTAAGGGGAATTGGCTAGGAGGGGACAGCCACTGCTCAGGAATGTCTGGGCATTGGTCAGCAGATGGTTAGCAGTTGTGTTGTGCATCACTTGTTTTTTAAATATATATATATGTGTGTGTGTATAATGATTATTACTATTATTTCTCTCTCCATTTTCTGTTTTGGTAAATAGTTTTTATCTCAAACTATGAGCTCTACCTTTTTGTTCTGATTCTTTTCTGCTATCCTACTGGGAGGGCTGGGAGTAAGCAAAAGGCTGTGTGCTGCTTGCCAAGGTAAACCACAACATAAAGCTCATATTGTTTCCTCTGAATTTTAACATGAAATACGGCCTCAGAGGTTCATGAAAATAAACAGTTGGTTATTGTCACGCTTACCAGTTTGTCTAACATCCTTCCTGCTTTCTGACACCTCAGGGCAGCATGAGAGTGGTGCAAGGGGAACATGAGAGCACACGCTTCAGCTTTCCTAGTGATCTGATGGTTTGCTGCATATCTCACTCTTCCAAGGAATGTTGCTTCAACAGCAGCACTCATTAAGGTTCTGAACGGCAGCATCAAAACAAGTGCTGGGATTTTTCCTTTAATACAGTGTGAAAATCTGACTGCATTGGAAAGCAGCCTCTTAAAATTCATTCCTGGTTTCAGTATCTCAAATTGGAATCCCCACGACTCACTGGTGACAAAAAACTTCCTGGTCATTTTGCATAGCAATGTTATGTTCTAACGTCCATTTACATGGCAAACTCAGGTACTTCATTTTTATAACTCAAATCCAGCTACAGTGCTTAAGGAAGAAAAAGTATCAGAACAAAATGGTTTCATTTTTTCTCTTCAAAAGATCTTTGTGGTTTTGAAGATAACAAACACTGAGTTATTTTGCCACGCTTCTAGGGGGAAAAAAAAAGCAACTTCAACCCACCAAGATGTGACACCTTTTTCCCATTTTAGGTAGGGCAGGTGTTAAATGCCTTCCCCCACCCCCCCAAAAGAATTGATATTTCCAAGCATCAAACCAGTAGCCACAACCAATGAGATGGAGCTCTGTGGTGGATGCCCCTGCCTGCTCCTAAGACCAGTACCCACACTGATACCCACACCACTTGGTGGAGCCCATCTCGGCGTACACATCACAGCACTCCACCTGCGACTGTGGGAGGAAGAAGCCTGCAGGTCAAAGAAGCAGAAGTACCTCCCTGCACCACTCCTCCCCACCCCACACCCCTAACACTCACCAGGCACAGCATATACCAGGCTGTAAGCCTTGCAGCTTCTAAAGCCTCTCTGGCCTTCAAGCACCAAAACCACATGCTGCCTTGTAGCCAACCATGGCATCTACCCTGGAGAAATTCATTCATTCTCTGGACCCCAGAACCCTTCCAAGGGTCCTCCAAATTCAGTCAGGCATCTATTTTGAAGGTGAGTGATGGGTACTTTCTGGCACATCTTTCCGAGTTCGTCTTGGACATTGGATTCTCCGTTGGGTGACTGTGAGAGAGGCAGAGGGAGAATGCTGACAACCCTGTTTCCTGGCAGTTTCCCTCTAGTTTTCCCTCTCCTTTGAAGAAAATAATATAAGCATCAATGGCTTTGGAAGTATCTTTTGTATGGTGTACATCTGCTCTTCTCCGGAGCTATGAGGAAAGCGATGTAGTTAGAACTCATCATATTCTGGAAAGAGTGCTGGAATGAGTCATGCATTTGCTTTGGATGGGCACAGAGCCATCAATCCAGCAATGGCAAATCACAATGCCGGGGTTAATTCATTAGCACTAGCTCTGCTCTCCTGGGATTGGCATGGAGAAGCAATCTCTGTTTCTAAAGTAAAGAAATACAGAGACTGGAAAGCAAATATGGGAAACGGTAAGGAAAAACAGTTTTCTGACATTTCGCCTTATGTTTGAGGGTACATCAGGTGTGTGCCATTATGAATGGATGGCTATGAGCATGACAGGGGCAATATTTAATAGGTATTTTTGCTGCATCAGGTGTTTCTATGCTGTTTTTATACTGGACTATGTTTGTGCACAAAACAAAGGGGTAAAGAGGTTGGTGCTGCTGAAAGGTTCTATGCATGGTCGAGGCACGGACTGCATGTAATGAAAACACCAAGTCAAGCCCATGTATCAGCCTGGGAAAAGAAGGTTACCTACCTGTCACTGCAGATCAATAGTTTTCAGAGGGATTAAGCAAGGCCCCGATGTGAATAAACTCCCTGGTAGGACTATGCATGGTGTTACAAATTCCAGCCTGCCAAAGAAGAAAGAAGGAAAAGTTGGGCTTACGCTAGATAAAAGAGACTTTATGAAATGAGCTTAAGCTTCAGAATCTATTATATCTACCTTTATGTAGATGCAAAAATCCAAAGGCGAAGGAAGAAGGACACAGTTGCCCTTTTCTGCAGCCGTGGAAAGTCTGAGCCAGGGCTGTCAGGGCCTATCCACTCCTGAGGATGTGCAGAATGGGAAGGGCACTCTTCATCTGCAGGCACAGCATGCCTGGGATGCATAGGACCGGCATGCAAAAAGGCACTGAGAGATTTATGTGGCCAAAATTACCAGAAACTTTTGAAAATATGGTTTTCTGGCCTTCCCTCGCTTTTACTCATGTCTTGTTCAAATTGCATTTTTAAAAATGGCCTGAGAACTTGTTTTCAGCTTGAACTAAATGAAAATCTTGGTGATAAGGCTGCTACCTAAGTGATGAATAGTGGAATTTAAAGTAGAACTAGAAGATCACTTCCTTGAATTTGAGTAGCTATAAATACAATATGTGCATGTATCTGGAGGTTCTCAAGACACATGTAGATGTGGCACTGTGGGACATGGATAATGGGCATGGTGATGGTGGGCTGATGGTTGGACTAGATGATCTTAGTTGTCTTTTCCAACCTTAATGACTCCATGATTCTATGCTGTGAGTATACACACACAAATTACTGTGAGATACATGTATATAGATACAAACACTACAATAATACTGCAGCATCCCCACTGTCAGCAGATTTCTGAGTCCCTACAGTTTGCATCCGGCTGCTCGTGGGTGGCAAAACTCCACACCATTAGAGAATGGAGTATTTCAGCACAGGTTTCCATTTGCTGTGTAGGCTCTGGTTCACGAGGAGAAGGAAAACTGTAGAGGGACAGCCCCCTGGCCATGCTGCAGCAGTGCACTGTGAGGCAGCTGTCTCTCAGAAAAGAGCTACCTGACCTGGGGAGTGCGTGGCACATGCCACAGTGACCCATGAACATCTTCACTGGCAGGGTGAGGCCTTGAGCTGCTCTTCTGCTTCTTCAGCCCTGGCAGCGCTGCCTTTTCCAGTTCTCTGCTCTTAGTGCTTTCTTCTCCACTCCACAGCCAGTGTATCTTGCATGTACAACAAGCTAGACTGATGCACAAGTGCAGCTCAACTCCTTCCTTCATGCATGGCATGGGGCCCCAACATTTTAAAGTACTTGACTACTCTGATGCCTACTAATAGGCTTGCAGTGTTTCTTCTCTCTCCTTCCTTGTTTCAGGAGAGGCTTTAAGACACTCAAAACACTCTTTGTCTAAGAGGTCTGTGAGATCTAGGGCTACAAAAAGTCTTCTTGCCCCAGTGCTCCCTCCCTCCCTCAGCTGCTGTCCGCACGGCATCTTTCCTGAGCACTTTACTTCCATCTATGCCTTGCAGCAGGGGGGAACATGCTGTTCTGTGATTGCATTCTGATTTATATTGCATTTTCTGAAGCAAGAGTAGTGCTTCGGAGAGAGACTGAAGTAATTCCTGTTATACTGCCAAACAGGAGAGTGGGCCACTTTGTGCACTTTGAATTTCCATTAGGACAACCCATCCCAAGTCCTTTCTTGGCCAGACTGCCACTCGCCTCCATCAGCCCCTTTTGATTTCTTGTACTGCAGGCAGTACACCTGTAATCATGGTGTGGGCAATGCCACATCTCCTGACAGGAATGGATTTATTGCTATGGTTGCAGGGACAAAATCAGAGCATTTGTACAAGAAGATATACTTTGAAAGCATCACACTTCTGGGTTTGTCTGAAACTGATCAATTGCAAAAGATGGCTAATTTATGGCATGAGAATTTTAAATGGTGTGAACTTATACAAAGATACGTTATGCTTTACCCCACCCTCCCCCCTCCCCCACCCCACCCCCCAAAAAAAAACAACCAAAACCCACAAGGGTTTTTTAAAACCACTGAATGATAAGTAAAATAAATAATGATCCAACAAATCCATTAGAACTGTCAAATCAAAGCTGCAGCTATGACCAATAAAGGTCATAGCCACATAGCTGATAAGGAGATTGTTAAGCTTAATTCATGCTCTGTTTTTCTGTGGTGCACTGATGTGCCATGATGGTGAAACTCTTCATTTACTCAATCTGGAAGCAACATTTTGCAGAAAACGAATCTATGTCTAAACAATTCTACAACTATATGACTTGCAAATTAGACTTGCTGCTCTTGAGAGTTTTGGTACTTCTACAAGCATAAGAAAAGTATGTTACATGTCTATGTAAAGATGAGAGGCTTTTTTTTTTTTTTTCCATGGTGGAAATTGTTTTTATTAGAAGCTGCAAAGTCAGGTTCCAGAGTAAGAGTAGGAATTTGGTTGCCTCTAGGCAAGAGAAAAGCTCTAACGATGATAATTAAAATATCCCATTCTATCTTCATACTCGTGTAGCGCCAAATACAGTTCAAGTTCCTCTTTGGCGCAAGTCTACCTGCTACAGTTCTGAGTGGAGAATGTTGGAGACATGCTTTGTGTACTCATTCCACCATTAGTTTATCTTTCAGCCTATAAAAACTCTGCTGCTGTTAATAAAATTGTGATTTATTTAACCATGTCTCTCAAAACTGTGCGTGGACACTGTGCAAGTGGACAGGACCATGTAGATCCTGTTTCATTTTGGAATACTTCATACTAGAACAGTTGAAGACAATCGAAATGCTGCCTTCCGTGGTGTGCTACACCCCAGATACCTCTCTTAGGAACAGTTCTCTTTTTTGTTCCCGGTTTTGAAGCAAAGGGTTGGGTTTCCTGTAATGCTTTACATAATTGAGATGATACCAGAAGCAAAATTACACTCTTTTTCATGCCACACTTGGACTTAGGGGTGAGTTGAAGACCTACCCTTTTTTCCTTGCGAAGGATGGCCAAGGTTTGAGGAGCTGGCTCAAGTTCCCACCTTCTTTATGCCCTTTCCCTCTTCCAGAGTGTGGCTGTAGGATCAGTGCATCTGTCTGCAGTTACTCTCTATGACTGACACTGTGCAGAGTCAGGAAGATGGGTTTTTAGGAATAACTCTAACTTTTTCTAAGTGCTTTTCATTCATCACACTCAATGGGCCATACAGAAGAAGGGAAATTATTGTCATCCCTGAAAACAGAAACACTGATGAAGGAAGAGAGTGGTTCTGCTGGCCCCAGGGATATTTCTCAGAGCAGCTGTTTAGGACTCTGCTGTTCACTGTTCTTTTCATAATATCACCACTGCAGAAATCGAATTGCTAAACTACTGGAGGAATTAGAAAGGATGATTATAAGTTGAAAGCAAATTTGTCAGATACAAATATCTTAGTAATCAGCACTGATTAGAAAGCAACTGTAGAGCAGTCTGAAGTACATGACAGTTTAATGGCTTCTTAAAATATGTTATTAACAAATTAAACTACTGAAACTCCATTGGAAAATGATTTGATTGACTGAATGTCTTTCTTTGAACATTTCAGTAAATATTGATGCTTAGTGAGCTAAGTATTGTATGGCCACTGATTTTTACAGACAGCATGCAGTATGAGCTTTCATCTTTATGTTGCAAAAAATTATGTCTGTTTTAATACTGATATAATTATTTTATGGGTAATTTAATTTAATATTCTGCAGGCTTAAGTTAACCACTGGCAGGATAGTAAAATGTGTCAAATTTTAATTGTGAAAAATGTAGAACTGTTCAAGGCATCTATTCTGTTGGTGTTTCTTTCCACTAATGGTGTTTTCTACCCACAACCTTCCCAGCTTTTGCTCCATCTAAAAAGAAATCTCACATAGTATTTTTTTATTCCCTTAAAGCTAAATATTCACACTAGTGATGGGATTAGGATACCGGGAGCACTTCACAGTACAGGGAGACTTGATAGATCCTCATCTCTTTTCAACTTTTCCAAAGCAGTATATGTTTCACAAATTGCAGTGCCAGGTCACCTCCTCTTTATGATGGAACCATGAAACTCGGGAAAAAATTTATGTTGTGTGTTCTTTCTAAGGGGAGAAGGGATCTTTAAGCCACCAGCCCCCAGCTCCACAGGCCTGAAGTTCAGCAAGGCAGAAAAAGTTCAGCAATTGCAGTTCTGTGCTCTGCTCCTTCTCCTGAGGTCTGAAAAGTACTTCAGGGACAAAGTGGTGAGAAGAGATAT